ATGGGGCCCAGGCCCAGTGATGGATGGATCAGGACTGGGATGGGGGTGTTACTGATCAAAATGAAACATTTCAGTTGCTAATTAATCTTTCTTTTCCATACATACCATTTTTCAGTAACTTTCGATTTATAAATGTACCATAATTTGTTCAATTTTTCGGTAACATTTTCGTAAATTTAGATTTTTAAAATATAAATTGTAATATCTTAATCTTGATTTTCAAAATTAAAATATATATTTTAATTTTTTATCTTTTCCATTGTTTTAATTTTAGAGGCCCATGATGGCAGGGGCCCACAATAAGTTCTCGTCGGCTCATCCATATCCAGAACGTCCCTAGCCAGCACGTCCCTGATTTGTATATCACTCGTATGTTGCAAATTTGAACTTTTTAGTGAAGGTCTAGCTAGGTCCACACATGATTAGTGATGTCTGAAACAGCCGAACATGTTTATTCTGAAAGTGTTATAAGGTAATGGAACATATCAAGAGCTTCGTGCCAATCTTTTGGTTCTGATAAAGCTTGAAGATCACAAACATATTTGAAATATTCTTGGTAGTCATTTTGTTCAGCAGGAATGGCAAAATCACTCTGAGAAACAACATCATCTACCTGTGTTTGAAGAATGGGTATTAGTTGATCTTCACCTCCAGAATGTTCTGGAAGGAAAAATAACTCATCAGGTTTTCCTGGGATGGTATCATGTCTCGAAAGTCGAATGTGATGTGTATTCCAGTGTAGCTTGACAAAGTGCAAGTCTTGCTGAATGACTTCATTGAAGCAAAACCATAGGCATTCTATGTGAAATGTGTTTCCATCCAAGAACACCCCTCTGTCGCATAGATCCTTAAAGAAGTTTATCCACCAAGTTGTGCGGCCTTTTTTAAGATGAGACCACCAGCACTCGATTCGGTGATTGCTAGTTGAAGAGCCATAACGATGAGATTTCTCTCCAGATAATTCATCATCATCGTTTGCTCTTAGGTAACACTGCATGGCAGCCATCGTGCCATTCTCAGTTCCAGGATCTGTTCTTAAAAGTCGAGGACAACCTTGAAGTTCCTTTACACATTCCAGATAATAGTTGGCTATTACAACTGGATTATTGTTAGTTCTTGCAACTTTCAACCACAAAACATGTCGACTATATCCATCGACTGCTCCATGTATTGGAAAGCCAAATGGTTTTAGTTTATCATAACCATCGACGTGCCAACATTCATTTGGGCCATTCGATCTATATGTCCTCCTCTTAAGCTGGTGCCCGCTTTCGTTCTTCGGTGCCGTTTGGGTCAAGCTCCTTTAAAATCCTCTGCACCTTGTCTTTTGGAACACACAGTCCGTATTTGAGTCGATACCCTGACACACAACTTGGACCTTGTAATTCTTGTTGAATGGCTTCAACGATATCATTATCATCAATGTCAACAGCATTTTTCCTTTTCAGGCCATATTCCCTTAACAGTCTCTTCAGTGTTGACATTGAATGATTAATGCTATGATATTTCGACAAAAAACAAAAAATCGTTTCGTACTCGTATCCTGCAAGAAAATAGTTTTCTATTGCTTCCCGTTCTTCTTCCTCATTTGCTACAGTTTGAGCTTCAGGGTTTTCAACCATTCTGCCACAAGAAGGGCAAAAGACATTGGTTTCATGAAGTTGATTTCCACACGAAGAACAAAACATGGTTGCGACTTGCGACAAAGTGAAAGACAAGCTTTAGTAACCACCCGTTTTCATACACACTGCGCATAATTATAAGCCTGGGGAGAATGTGTAGTGAGTATATTGAAATGTGTAGTGAGAATTTTGAAATGTGTAGTGAGAATTTTGAATTGTGTAGTGAGTATTTTGAAATGTGTAATGAGTATTTTGAAATGTGTAGTGAGAATATTGAAATGTGTAGTGAGCATTTTGAAATGTGTAGTGAGCATATTGGAATGTGTAGTGAGCATTCTGAAATGTGTAGTGAGAATTTTGAAATGTGTAGTGAGCATATTGAATTGTGTAGTGAGAATTTTGAATTGTGTAGCGAGTATTTTGAAATGTGTAGTGAGCATTTTGAAATGTGTAGTGAGAATTTTGTAATGTGTAGTGAGTATTTTGAAATGCGTAGTTTTCTCTGGCAGGCGTTATTTGATTTTGTAATGTGTTTTGATACTTGTTTATGTAGTGACACGTACCGGCCACCGTAGCGTTGTCTATAGATTACTCCAGAAATAATATTTGGTTTGTTTGTAAATTGTATTTCAATCCAAAGAGCCTGAAACGCTTCGTTAGAATTTTTTTCAATGATTGTACATTTTAAGCTTTTATTGATGTACATTCCAACTCCACCTGACGATAGGGGTGTTGGCACACATTCAAAGTTATAATTAGGTATTTCAGGATTATAGTCCAAAAAATTTTCATCTGTAATTTTTGTTTCAGTAATTCCTATTACACTAAAATTATAACTAGGAGTTACTATTGCAAGGAAAGTGCTGCCTTTTTTGCCACATGAACTGAATGCAAAACTCTAAAGGCGAGTTTACTTTTGACCCAATGAACTTATTCTTGAATTGCGTGCACAGAACATGAGTAAATAACCAACATGAAAAAGTTGCCATTGGGTCAAAAGTGGATAAACGGCATACCCATTAGCTGACAATGCACCCCACTTTAGTATTAACTCTGTCTAACGCCAGACAAATTTACACTCTGTAACGCCAGACGATTTTACTTGTAGAGTTCTGTCAGTATCTGCTAATGTCTCCTATTAACCGCCACTCACTGGCTGGCAATGTGCCATACTTTAGTATTTACCGCCTATCCACTACCTGTAGGAAGCAATTTTGTATTGGGGGAGCTGATTAGTCAGGGGCAATTATTAGGTAATTATATCATAGATATCTTATATACACTAGATAGCACATCTCTTTTAGTAAAATTGAAGCGAAGAATATTCCAGCGGTTACCCCCATTTGAATAGATGGCGGCCATGTTGGTTGTTCCCACTTGCTAATAAACGCTTAAAAACAACAATAACTTTCATCATTTGAATAGTTTAAAAATGTATTTGGAGTAGGGTTAACTTAATGTTTAAGTTCCCTGTTTAAGAAATAGAAAACATACGAATCTTCTCATTTCATGGGAATGACCTGAGACTACAATCACGGCTTCAATTTTGGAATTGCAGTATAATTAGATGCACTATCTAGTGTATATAAGATATCTATGAATTATATCCCTCTCAAACTTCACAGATTATCGCTAGCTTACAATTTTTTTTTTTGGGGGGGGCTGAAGACCCCATACACCCGGTTGCTACGGCCCTGCTATCAACGCCAGACAATTTTACTCGTCAGTGCCAGTAAACGGCTTAATTTCTCGTCACCCCAATTTTTACGATTTTTGTTGTTTCTAATTGTAGATATCTTGGCAAGTAT